TGCCCTGCCCCCTGACCTTGTGTCTGCCTCCTCTTACCCACAGCTTTTGGTGGCTCTAGGCGATTTCTCCATGAGCTCTAGGGAATAATGCTGGCTGTGTCTGTGCCTCCAACCTTTGCATCATAGGCTGAACCTGCCCCTCACTTCTCAGGATAACACTTAACCCTCACTGTTTTCAACACAGAAACATGATTCCGGGAAAACGAATGATGCTAGGTACCAGGTATTGGGCAAAGTGTAGTACATCCCTGACTTGCTTTTAGGCCCCCAAAAAATCCTTTCTGCAGGTGAGGATCTAAGAAGTTAGAAATGTTGCCAAAAACACACAGCAAGTAAGTGGCAGAGTCGGGTTCAACTGGGTATTATTTTTTCCTTTTCCTTGCTCCAAATCTCATGTTCTTCCTACTTGATGGGAAAAGGGCTAACCCCACGCAGAAGTCTCTCTCTCACCCTCACAGACCTTCCCAGAGCCACCTGCTTGGGTTTAGAGTGTGGGACAGAACATGCCGTCTTCCCAATTGATGAATGCCAGCTGTGCCTCCCTTTGCTATGAGCCAAGAGTTGTGCTAAGGGACTGCTTAAAGTGCAACCATTTAAAGCACTTTTCCTAATCCTGTTCAGGTTTGTTTCATTCAACTAGGTGCAGGCAGGAAGGACCAGCCAGTTTGGACAACTGCACTGCCAATTTCTTCTTGATCTAACAGCATCTGCTTCAGGGAATAGTGTGTTCTGAGGAACCTCATGAACGAGCTTTGCGCCAAATGAGAAATTCCACCTTGTGATGATCCTTCCTGTCTCCTCTGAGGCGTAGTTTCTAAACTATAGTAAGTGCTCAGCAAATAGATGGTGGATGACTAAATGCAAATCTGGTGCCTCAAGCTCCTCATCTTTTAAATGATAAAGATAACTGTATCTTCCTAGCAGGAGGTGAGGACCAAATCAGCAAGCTCATTTTATTCTTTTTTTCTTTTTATTTTTTCAGAGACAAGGTCTCTTTCCATTGCCCAGGGTGAAGGGCAGTGGCCCGATTATAGCTCACTGCAGCCTCGAACTTCTGGGCTCAAGTGATTCTCCTGCCTCAGCCTCCCAAGTAACTGGGACTACAGGTGCATACCACTGCATCCAGCAATTTTTTTTTTTTTTTTGTACAGACAAGGTCTCGCTTTGTTGTTCAAGCTGTGCTTGAACTCCTGAGCTCAAGCAATCCTCCTGCCTTGGCCACCTAAACTGTTGAGATTATAGGCATGAGTCACCATGCCTGGCTTAATTTTCATCTTCCTTTTTTTTGTGTGTTTCTTAAGCCACAGTAGTAGTGGGGCTTCGCTTTAAAACCAAAAACTCCCTAGCCCACCTCCTACCACAAGGCACACCCACACCTCTCATTCCTATGCTAGTAGCAATCGAAACTATCAGTCTACTTATTCAACCAGTGGCTCTAGCCGTACGATTAACCGCAAACATCACAGCCGGCCATCTGCTAATACACCTGATCGGAAACACTGTACTAGCACTATCAACCACCAACCTCTCCATAGCTCTACTAGCCTCTACACTTCTGGTATTACTAACTATTCTAGAAATTGCAGTAGCCCTAATTCAAGCCTATGTCTTCACACTCTTAATTAGCCTTTATCTACGGAACAACACCTAATGACCCACCAGACCCACGCTTATCACATAGTTAAACCCAGTCCCTGGCCGCTGACAGGAGCTCTGTCAGCCTTCTTAATAACATCTGGCTTAGTCATGTGATTTCACTTCTACTCCACCACCCTACTAATACTAGGCCTACTAACCAATACACTAACCTTATACCAATGATGACGCGACATTGTACGAGAAAGCACATACCAAGGCCACCACACAACACCCGTCCAAAAAAGCCTTCGGTACGGAATAACACTATTCATCATCTCAGAAGCATTCTTCTTTGTCGGCTTCTTCTGAGCATTTTACCACTCAAGCCTTGCTCCAACACCCTGCTTAGGGGGCCATTGACCACCAACAGGCATCACCCCTCTAAACCCCATAGAAGTACCCCTCCTAAACACCTCTGTATTACTTGCATCCGGAGTTACAATTACCTGAGCTCATCACAGTCTCATAAACAACGATCGAAAACAAACAATCCAAGCCCTACTCATCACAATCCTACTCGGCACCTATTTCACCCTACTACAAATCTCAGAATACTTTGAAGCACCCTTCACCATCTCCGATGGCATCTACGGTTCAACATTCTTCATTACCACAGGCTTCCATGGACTCCACGTTATTATTGGATCCACATTCCTCTTTGTCTGCCTCATCCGCCAACTACTACACCACTTCACATCGAACCATCACTTCGGCTTCGAAGCCGCCGCTTGATATTGACACTTCGTGGATGTTATCTGACTACTCCTCTATATTTCTGTCTATTGATGAGGATCCTACTCTTTTAGTATAACAAGTACAATTGACTTCCAATCAATCAGTTTTGACAACATTCAAAAGAGAGTAATTAATCTAGTGCTAGCCCTAACAATCAACACCCTATTAACCTCGCTACTGATAATTATCATATTCTGACTACCCCAGCTCAACCCCTATACAGAAAAAACCAGCCCCTACGAGTGCGGATTTGACCCCCTAAACCCTGCTCGCATCCCATTCTCAATAAAATTCTTCCTAGTTGCCATTACTTTCCTGCTATTTGACCTAGAAATCGCCCTACTACTATCTCTACCGTGAGCCATTCAAACAACAAACCTCCCAATAATAATCAAATCGACCATTGCCTTTATTATTATCCTAATTCTCAGTTTAACCTATGAATGAACCCAAAAAGGGTTAGACTGGGCCGAATTGGTAAGTAGTTTAAATAAAATAAATGATTTCGACTCATTAGATTATGATAACCATACTAACCAAATGACCCTTACCTATATAAACATTATACTAGCATTCGCTATCTCTCTTCTAGGTATACTAACCTACCGCTCACACCTAGTAGCCTCTCTCCTCTGCCTAGAGGGAATAATAATATCGCTCTTTATTATGGCCACCCTTATTGCCTCAAACACACACTTCCCCCTAATCAACATTATACCCATCATTTTGTTAGTATTTGCCGCCTGTGAAACAGCAGTAGGTCTTGCCCTACTAATCTCAATCTCCAACACATACGGACTAGACTACGTCCACAACCTAAACCTGCTTCAATGCTAAAAATAATTATTCCCACAACCATACTACTACCCATAACATGACTCTCTAAAAATAATACAATTTGAATCAACTTGACCATGCATAGCTTAACTATCAGCCTCATCCCCTTACTATTCTTCAACCAAACCAGCACCAACCTCCTCAATCACTCAACCTATCTATCTTCTGACCCACTAGCAGCACCCCTCCTAACACTAACTATCTGACTTCTACCCCTCATGATTATAGCGAGCCAGTATCACCTATATAACGAACCCCCCTCACAAAAAAAACTTTTCCTCTTCACAATAATTCTCCTACAAATCACCCTAATTCTGACATTCATGGCCACAGAGCTAATTATATTCTACATTCTATTTGAAACCACCCTAATTCCCACCCTAATTATCATTACTAAATGGGGCAACCAAGCAAAACGCCTCAACGCAAGTACCTACTTTCTATTCTATACACTAACCGGCTCTCTACCCCTACTCATCATACTAAGCCACACCTACAACAACACAGGCTCATTAAATATTACATTACTAACACTCACAGACCAAAAACTAACAACCACCTGATCTCACAACTTTACCTGACTAGCATGCATAATAGCCTTTATGACAAAAATACCCCTATATGGCCTACACCTGTGACTTCCTAAAGCCCATGTCGAAGCCCCCATTGCAGGATCAATAGTCCTTGCCGCAGTACTCCTAAAACTAGGTGGCTACGGCATAATACGACTTACTCCCATCCTTAACCCCTTAACAGAATACATAGCTTACCCATTCCTCATATTATCCTTATGGGGCATAATCATAACAGGCCTAACATGCCTCCGACAAACAGATCTAAAATCACTTATCGCATACTCTTCTGTAAGCCACATGGCCCTTGTAATTGTAGCCTCTCTCATCCAAACCCCCTGAAGCTTTTCCGGCGCAACCATCCTTATAATCGCTCACGGACTCACCTCTTCCATGTACTTCTGCCTAGCCAATTCAAACTATGAACGCACCCACAGCCGTACCATACTACTGTCCCGAGGACTTCAAATCCTACTCCCACTAACAGCCTTCTGATGATTAACAGCAAGCCTTACTAACCTTGCCCTGCCCCCCACTATCAACCTACTAGGCGAACTCTTTGTAATCACGACCTCATTTCCTGTCCCATATCACCATTATATTAACAGGGTTAAATACTAATTACGGCCCTCTACTCCTCCACATATTCATTACAACACAACGAGGATACTCACACATCAATAATCAACATAAAACCCCCTTCACACGAGAAAAATATTAATATTCATACACCTCGCTCCCAATTATCCTCTATCTCTCAACCCAACATCATCCTGGGTTTACCTCCTGTAGATATAGTTTAACTAAAACATTAGATTGTGAATCTAACCATAGAGACTTACCACCTCTTATTTACCGAGAAAACTCGCGAGGACTGCTAACCCATGTATCCGTACCTAAAATTACGGTTTTCTCAACTTTTAAAGGATAACAGATATCCATTGACCTTAGGAGTCAAAAATATTGGTGCAACTCCAAATAAAAGTAATAATCATGCACACCCCTATCATAATAACAACCCTTATCTCCCTGACTCTCCCAATTTTTGCCACCCTCATCAACCCTTACAAAAAACGTCCATACCCAGATTACGTAAAAACAACCGTAATATATGCTTTCATCATCAGCCTCCCCTCAACAACCTTTATTCATCTTCTCAACCAAGAAACAACCATTTGGAGCTGACATTGAATAATACCCAAACATTAGACCTAACACTGAGCTTCAAATAGATTACTTCTCCATAATATTCATTCCAATCGCACTATTCATCACCTGATCCATCATAGAATTCTCACTATGATACATAAACTCAGACCCAAATATCGACCAATTCTTCAAATACCTCCTTATTTTCCTCGCTGCCATACTAATTCTAGTCACTGCCAACAACCTCTTCCAATTCCTTATCGGCTGAGAGGGCGTAGGAATCATATCTTTTCTCCTAATTAGCTGATGATACGCCCGAACAGACGCCAATACAGCAGCCATCCAAGCAATCTTATACAGCCGCATTGGCGACATTGGTCTTATCCTGGCCATAGCATGATTTCTCCTACATTGTAACTCATGAGACCTCCAACAAATACTAGCCCTAAATCTCAACTCAAACTCCCTCCCACTAATAGGCCTCCTCCTAGCAGCAGCAGGAAAATCAGCTCAATTCGGCCTTCACCCCTGACTACCCTCTGCCATAGAAGGCCCAACTCCAGTCTCAGCCCTACTTCACTCCAGTACCATAGTTGTTGCCGGAGTATTCTTACTCATCCGCTTCCACCCTCTAATAGAAACCAACACAATGATTCAAAATCTTACATTATGCCTGGGGGCTATTACTACCCTATTTACAGCCATCTGCGCCCTCACACAAAACGACATTAAAAAAATCGTAGCCTTCTCTACCTCAAGCCAACTAGGCCTAATAATAATCACCATTGGTATCAACCAACCATACTTAGCATTCCTACACATCTGCACCCATGCTTTCTTTAAAGCCATACTTTTCATATGCTCCGGATCCATTATCCATAACCTAAACAACGAACAAGACATTCGAAAAATGGGAGGCCTATTCAAAACAATACCTCTCACCTCAACTTCCATAATCATTGGCAACCTAGCACTTACAGGAATACCCTTCCTCACAGGCTTCTACTCCAAAGACCTTATTATCGAAGCCACAAACACGTCGTACACCAACGCCTGAGCCCTATTCATTACTCTCATCACTACCTCTCTAACAAGCGCCTACAGCACTCGAACTATCCTCCTCACCCTAACAGGACAACCCCGTTTTCCAGCTCTAACAAACATCAACGAAAACAACCCCACCCTACTAAACCCAATCAAACGCCTCACAATAGGCAGTATGATCACAGGATTTCTTATCACCAACAACATCCCCCCCACTTCACTCCCCCAACCAGCAATACCCCTCTACTTAAAACTCTCAGCCCTATGCGCAACTGCCCTAGGCTTCCTAGCAGCCCTAGACCTCACCCTTATAACAAACAAGCTGAAAATAAAAAACCCATCACAAATATTCAAATTCTCCAATATACTAGGATATTTTCCCACCACAATTCACCGCACAATCCCCTATCAAAACCTACTCATAAGCCAAAATTTAGCCCTTCTCCTACTAGACTCAACATGACTAGAAAAATCTATACCTAAAATAATCTCACAAGCACACATCACTGCCTCCATAACTGTAACCACCCAAAAAGGCATAATCAAACTCTATTCCCTTTCTTTCCTCATCCCCCTTACCCTAGCCCTAATTCTAATGATATAACCTATTACCCCGAACAATCTCAATCACAACATACACACCAACAAATAGTGTTCAACCAGCAACTACCACTAATCAACGCCCATAATCGTATAAGGCACCCGCACCAATAGAATCACCTCGAATCAATCCTGACCCTTCCCCCTCAAAAATTACTCAGTCACCAGTATCACTAAAACTAACCACCACTACTACCGCCTCATCTAAACTTAAAACTCATAAAATCAATATCACCTCCATCATCAACCCTACTAAAAGACCCCCTAAAACCTCAAACCCAGAACCCCATGTCTCAGGATACTCTTCAATAGCCATTGCAGTAGTATAACCAAAAACAACCATCATACCCCCCAGATAAACTAAAAACATCATTAAACCCATATAAGCTCCCCCACAACTTAAAACAATCACACAACCAATTACACCACTAACAATTAACGCCAGACCCCCGTAAATAGGAGAAGGCTTAGAAGAAAACCCCACAAACCCCATAACTAATAAAACACTCAATGTAAACAAAATATACGTCATCGCTTTCACATGGACTCCAACCATAACTAATGGTACGAAAAACCATCGTTGTACTTCAACTATAAAAGCACCAATGATTCCAATACGCAAATCCAACCCAATCATAAAAATAATTAATCGCTCCTTCATTGATTTACTCACCCCACCCAACCTCTCCATGTGATGAAACTTTGGCTCACTTCTTGCAGCCTGCCTAATTTTACAAATCGTCACAGGCCTACTCCTAGCAATACACTACTCACCAGACACCTCCTCCGCCTTCTCCTCAATCGCACACATCACCCGAGATGTAAAGTACGGCTGAATCACTCGCTACCTCCACGCCAATGGTGCCTCTATACTCTTTATCTGCCTTTTCCTACACATCGGTCGAGGCCTTTACTACGGCTCATATCTCCTCCTAGAAACCTGAAACATTGGCATTATACTCCTTCTTATAACCATAACAACAGCTTTCATGGGTTATGTTCTCCCATGAGGCCAAATGTCATTCTGGGGGGCAACAGTAATCACAAACCTACTATCAGCAATCCCGTATATCGGAACCAATCTAGTCCAATGAATCTGAGGAGGATACGCCATCGACAGCCCCACTCTCACACGATTCTTCACCTTACACTTTATTCTACCCTTCATTATCATCGCCCTCACAACCGTACACCTACTATTCCTACACGAAACAGGATCAAACAACCCTTGCGGAATCTCCTCCGACTCGGACAAAATCGTCTTCCACCCCTACTACACAATCAAAGACATCCTAGGCCTAGTCCTCCTTCTCTTTATCCTAGCAACACTAACACTACTCTCACCCAACCTCCTAAACGACCCAGACAACTACATCCCAGCCGACCCACTAAATACTCCCCCACACATCAAGCCAGAATGGTACTTCCTATTTGCATACACAATCCTACGATCCATCCCCAACAAACTGGGAGGCGTATTAGCACTCTTCTTATCGATCTTCATCCTAGCAGCCATCCCCATACTCCACAAATCCAAACAACAAAGCATAATATTCCGCCCACTCAGCCAATTCCTGTTCTGACTCCTGATAACAGTCCTATTAACTCTTACCTGAATCGGAAGTGAACCAGTAACCCAACCCCTTACTACCATCGGCCAAGTAGCATCCATAATATACTTCATCACAATTCTAATCCTAATACCACTAGCCTCCCTAATCGAAAACAAGCTACTTAAATGAACCTGCCCTCGTAGTATAAACTAATAAACTGGCCTTGTAAACCAGAAATGAACACTCTTCCTAGGGCAATCAGAAAGAAAGTACCTAACTCTACCACCAACACCCAAAGCTGGCATTCTAACTTAAACTACTTTCTGCACTCTTATGTCACATAAGCTTCATAAAATAACCCTAACACCAACCTATCCATGATATTACTATGTAATTCGTGCATTACTGCTAGTCAGCATGTATAATATATAGTACTATATATGTTTAACTGTACATAACACATATCATTACATATCAACTCAACATCCCAGACAACATGCTTACAAGCAAGTACTCTAATGTAAGCTCCAACAGCAGTACATAACACAGCTCCCTCAAACTCAACTTGTCCCCCCCCATGAATATCAACCGAACCAGCCCATGCCAGTCGTCCATAGTACATTAAATCGTTCATCGGACATAGCACATATTCATTAAATAATCCTCCTCACCACGGATGCCCCCCCTCACTTAGGAATCCCTTGTTCACCATCCTCCGTGAAATCAATATCCCGCACAAGAGTGCTACTCTCCTCGCTCCGGGCCCATAACTCGTGGGGGTAGCTATACTTGAGCTGTATCCGGCATCTGGTTCTTACCTCAGGGCCATAACAATCAAGATCGCCCACACGTTCCCCTTAAATAAGACATCTCGATGGATCACGGGTCTATCACCCTATTAACCAGTCACGGGAGATTTCCATGCATTTGGTATCTTTTATCTCTGGTCTGCACGCAACCCCATCGCAGAATGCTGACTCCCACCACATCCCGTCCTGTATGCGCCTGTCTTTGATTCCTAGTACATGCAGTTGTTGATCGCACCTACGTTCAATATTCTAGCTCCACGCAAACTTTAGCAAGGTGTTATTTAATTCATGCTTGTAGGACATATTAATAACCATTCCAACCAACATCACCCACACCACACCATTAACCACAACCGTGTCTTATCAAACCCCCCCACCCCCATCTCCGACCTTCATCCAAACCCACTCTTGCCAAACCCCAAAAACAAAAGTCTTAACATATCCGGTCAGAGCCCATATTTTTATCTTTTGGGTGTACACAACTCCAACTGCCATTCCCTCAACTAACAAACATTTACTTCACCAAACACCCTCTGCACCAACCCGCGACAGATCCTTCTCATACAACCCAAAAGAAACTACCTCACAATTGTACTGACACCTCTGTTTATGTAGCTTAAACCCACCCAAAGCAAGACACTGAAAATGCCTAGATGGGTTTGCACACCCCATAAACAAATAGGCTTGGTCCTGGCCTTTCTATTAGCTCTTGGCAGGATTACACATGCAAGCATCCTCGCTCCGGTGAAGACGCCCTATAAATCATCATGACCAATAGGAGCAAGCATCAAGCACGCACGCGCAGCTCAAAACGCTTTGCCTAGCCACACCCCCACGGGAGACAGCAGTGACAAGTATTTAGCAATAAACGAAAGTTCAACTAAGCCATGCTATATTTAGGGTTGGTCAATTTCGTGCCAGCCACCGCGGTTACACGATTAACCCTAGCTAATAGAGACCGGCGTAGAGGGTGTTTAAGATCTGACGTAATAAAGCTAAACTCCATCTAAACTGTAAAACTCTAGCTGATGTAAAATAAACTACGAAAGTGGCTTTAAAGCTTCTGAACACACAATAGCCAGGACCCAAACTGGGATTAGACACCCTACTATGCTTGGCCCTAAACCTCAGTAGTTAAATAACAAAACTACTCGCCAGAATACTACGAGCTACAGCTTAAAACTCAAAGGACTTGACGGTGCTTTACACCCCCTAGAGGAGCCTGTTCCGTAATCGATAAACCCCGATCCACCCCACCCTCTCTTGCTCAGCCTATATACCGCCATCTTCAGCAAACCCCAATGAAGGTCACAAAGTGAGCGCAAACGCCACCACCGCGAATACGTTAGGTCAAGGTGTAGCCTATGAGATGGTAAAAAATGGGCTACATTTTCTACCTCAGAAAATTCCACGAAAACCCTTATGAAATTTAAGGGCCCAAGGAGGATTTAGCAGTAAATTAAGAATAGAGTGCTTAATTGAACTAGGCCATAAAGCGCGCACACACCGCCCGTCACTCCTCTCAAATATATTTAAGGAACATCCTAACTAAACGCCCTAATATTTATATAGAGAGGATAAGTCGTAACATGGTAAGCGTACTGGAAGGTGCGCTTGGATAAATCAAGGTATAGCTTAATACAAAGCACCTGGCTTACACCCAGAAAATCTCAATACCACTTGATTACCTTGAGCCAATACTAGCCCTAAGCACAACCAACACTAATACCAAACCAACATGCACTAAACCATTCACCTACACAAAGTATAGGCGATAGAAATTTTAATCTGGCGCTATAGACGCAGTACCGTAAGGGAAAGATAAAAACCACCCAAGCACAAAACAGCAAGGACTAACTCCTGTACCTTTCGCATAATGAATTAGCTAGAAATAATTTCACAAAGAGGACTACAAGCCAAATTCCCCGAAACCAGACGAGCTACCCAAAAACAGCTAAAAGAGCGCACCCGTCTATGTGGCAAAATAGTGGGAAGATTTCTGGGTAGAGGTGACAAGCCTATCGAGCCTGGTGATAGCTGGTTATCCAAGACAGAATCTTAGTTCAACCTTAAGCTTACCTATAGAACCACCTAATCCCCCTGTAAGCTTAATTGCTAGTCTAAAGAGGGACAGCTCTTTAGACACTAGGAAAAAACCTTATAGAGAGAGTAAAACCCCCAATCATCATAGTTGGCTTAAAAGCAGCCATCAATTAAGAAAGCGTTCAAGCTCAACACTAACCACTCCAAAAAATACCAAACACACAACAGTTTCGTTCTATTGCCATAGGCTGTAGAGCAGTAGTGCAGTCATAGCTCACTGCAACCATGATTTCCTGGGCTCAAGTTGTCCTCCCACCTCAGCCTCCTCAGCAACTAGGACTACAGGTGTGCATCACCATGCCCAGCTAACTTTTTGATTTCTAGTAGAGACAAGGTCTTGCTATGTTGCCCAGCCTGATCTCAAACCCTTGAGCTCAAGCAATCCTCCTGCTTTGGCCTCCCAAAGTTCTGGGATTACAGGCATGACTCATTTTTTTTCTTGACACATACTCGACACTTAGTAAATCTCAATAATATTATTCTCTCTCCACCCCACTCCTCCAGCTTCCTTCGCCCCTCTCTTTGGGCAATGTCTGGAAGCAAAGAGCTCCTCTCCTTGGGGTTGCAGACTACTCACTTCAGCCACAGGGTCATCATTCACTGGTCACTTGGGGTTTGTTGCACAGAGCCCAGGTGAAGATTTCACAGTCAAGATTCTGTGATCAAGGTACTGTTGGTTACTTGAAACCCATCAGTGCTTGGTTAGCCCCTGATGAAGGTATTTCATGCCTGATGCCTTCCACTCTTTCTCATTCCCCAGTCTACTTGACCCTACTCTTGATTTGGGAAATAGGGACATAATTGATGGCAAACCAAGCTAAGAGAGTATAGCTGCTCAGCCATAAGACTATGAAGTAACATTAATAGGTCTCATCCTATTAAGTGTGTCCTGTACTCTTAGCAATACTGAAGCTAGAAAAATCATCCCACAATATCCCACAGACATGAGCTTACAGTGTCTTACGGAGGGAGAACGTTCATCCTAAGAGGCTTCAGGGAACATCACTATCCAGCCTGTAACAAGGCCTTATCTTGTAAATGTCCAGAGGACCAGGGAAGGGTTGGTTTCATGTGCTGGCTTCACTGCAGAGCCTAGGGATTAATATATAAGGCATTCCGTGTTGGTGAAGCATTTGATGTATGGCTGGTTTCAGCTAAGAATTATGTAGTCAAGGAGTGAGTTTCTCATACTTAGCCACCTCCTTTGGCTGCCCTGTGATAAACACACTTGTGTGTGTGGGCTGAAATTTAGCTTTTTTTTTTTTTTTTTTGGCCTGTCTTGCATCTGAAAATCTACAGAAAAGTTTGGAGGTGGTGGAAGCTTAAGAAGGATCATCATTTGTACTTAGTTAGTTAGCTAATACATTTATCAGGGATGTCTTTTTTGTTACTGAATTTATTATGATGAGTTCAGTATTTGTTGGCGTTCTAATGTATTTAACTTGCACTATGATCATATGAGGTAAATATTATCACTGTTTTACAAATGTAAAAGACTGAGGCTCAGATTATAGGTAAGTTGCTCAGTTTCTTAAATTTAGAATATGAAAGAGATAGCGTTCAGATTTTAGTCTTTTCTATTCTGAATATATTATTTTTTCCACTAAGACCAGTGCTTTTCTTCAAATACAACTTTATAACAATAATGACTATTTTGGGAAATCACTTTTAGTTACTAATACTTTAAAAAAAGTATTTTATATTCCAAGTTCCCATGAGCGTTTTTTTCCTTATGGTTATGCATTTTAATATAGTTATAATCATTACATAGAAATATTTTGTATTCTATTGTCTTGACTTAATGCTATAGGGTATGCTTTTCCCAATATCACTAAATAATCATTAAAATTTATAAGATGGAAAAATAATCCATTGGGTTAACTTCTCATAATTTACTAGAACATTCTTCTATTATGAGCCACTTTGTTTTTTTCAGCTTTTGCTATTATAAATAATGCTACAGTGAAGATATTCATACATAGATATCCTTTTCCCAAGGCAGTGTTTTGTAGAAGAAACAGGGGATTGGAATCAGACTGCATTTGAATGCAGATTCTCCCTTATAATGGTGCCATATCAGGTAAGTCACTTAGCCATTGTTCTAATTTCCTCATCAATAAAATGGGAACAATAAGTTTCAAAGGCTTGACTTGCGGAATTAGCAGCAGATTAACGTGCATAGCTCAGAATAGATAGGCAATAAATTTTAGTTACACTATCCTATTTGGAAAACTCCATAAGTAGAATGTCAGAGTGCATATACTTTTGAATTTTGACACCTACTGTAACATATCTTTTCAAAAGGGTTAGAACAACTTCTGCTGTCACAAGCAATGTATAAAAGTACTGTTTTGCCACAGACTCAGAATCCGTTTTAATTTTTGGTGCCTATGTACATATATAATATAATTATATTATTATATTATATAATATAATTATTATATTATATATTATATAATAATTATATTAATAAATATATATTATATATAATATATACTATATTTATATATTATATAAATATATAATAAATATATAGTTAATATTACATATTATATACAATATAATATATAATTATTATATAATATATATTATATAATTATTATATAATATATATTATATAATATGTTGTATATAATATGTAATATTAAATATATATATTTTTTGAGATGGAGTCTCGCTCTGTTGCCCAGGCTGGAGTGCAGTGGCATGATCTCTGCTCACTGAAACCTCTGCCTCCTGGGGTCAAGTGATTCGCCTGCCTCAGCCTCCTGAGTAACTGGGATTGCAGGTGCCTGCCACGATGCCCAGCTAACTGTTTTGTATTTTCAGTAGAGACAGTTTCGCCATGTTTTCAGGCTGGTTTCAAACTCCTGACCTCAAGTGATCCACCAGCCTCGTCCTTCCAAGGTGCTGGGATTACAGGCGTGAGCCACCGTGTCTGACTGGTGCCCATAATTTTGAAAGGGTAACAGGATGGGAATGAAAAGAGCCCTGTGCTCTTTACTAGTGAAGATGCGGGACTATATGATCACAAAAAAATGAGTCACAAAGCTTTTGAAGGGCAGAGACTGATTAGGGCCAGCAAGGCTTATAGGTAAGCCATATCTGACTAATCAAATCCCCTTGAACCTAGGGACTGATGGGATATAAAGAATCTATTATTGACAGGAAACATTATCTGACCTCAGCATGGGTGCCTGGTAGACACTGCAAAGCCTTCCTAACTGATGATTTTTTTTTAAGGAGAATGTGTCATCTGATAAGAAGGCTTAACAAGATCCTCTCTCAAATTGGATTTGACATATGCCTGGCACTTGGGCAGCTGAGCCTTCCCTCCCCAGCCAGCTCTCTGCAGCTACAGCCCAGGGCAGCAGGGCTTTGTCCTGCCTGCTGCTGGCACAGCTGCTAATCCCAGGCTAATGATCAATCCTGAGGCAGCGGCAGCAGAGAGGCCGGGAGAGCCAGGGGCAGGGAGAGGGCCAGGAGGAGCCAGGTTTCCTAGGGCAGTCACAGAAAGCGGCCTTCCCAGAGTTGTTCCTGGATAGGAATTGGGCCAGCGCCCTGGGTCCCTATCCTAATATGGGCAGTGCCTTAGAAAGGATTCCAGAAAGAGAGAAAAAAGTGGTTGCTGGGGCTGACTTGATACCCACGTTTGTTCGTTCAGCCTATAAGCCCACCCTATAAGACAGGCAAGATTGGGGACTCTCTTCTCAGGACATCTCCTTAAGGTTGTTCTTGATTTTCTTTCATTTTATTTTTATTTTACTTGTGAAAAAGATTGGAGGGAAGGGATACATCAGAGGTGATTTGTCTTGGATGTTCTATTTATCAGAACTAGACTGAAAACCTCAAGCCAAAATATGAATTTTAGAAATACTATCCCGTACTATCTCATGTCTCTCTCTCTCTCTCTCTCTCTCTCTCTCTCTCTCTCACACACACACACACACACAGTCAAAAATCTATACGGTATTACGGTAGATAGATAGATAAAGAGAGAGAAAAACTTATTTTCAGTGTTACAATACCTGGACTCATGTCTAATCCACGACTGCTGTGTGATCTTGGGAAAATCTTGCCTCCACATTTTGATTTTTCAGCTTAAAAAACGAGAGTAGCACATATGAATGAATAAATCCTCAAGGAGAAAGCCTTAAAGGCCAACATACACATGAAAAGATGCAGATTTATGTAACAGTGATATTCCATTTAAAAGCTGTCAGATAGCACATGTGTTTGGGTGTGTGTAACGTTACCAAGTGTTGGAAAGGATATCGATCAAGAGAAATTCTCATTCATGCTTGATGAAAGTGTAAACTGGCAAAACTACTTTTTTTTTATACTCATATAAGTGAATGCTTATATGGTAAAGATAGATGATTCTCATAGTCTAAGATCTAGGAATTGTACACTTACCTTTGCCTTGGAACATACATGTACATAGGAGACATGCACAGGACTGTATACTTTTGGCATTGTTTGTACATATGAAAAATCATAAACAACCCAAGTGGGAACCCAAAAGCAGAATGGAAAACTAGATTTTGGTATTTTCCTGCCATAGTACATTACAGAGCAATGACAATGAATGAACTAGAGCTATACATATCGTCTACATGCATAATCCTCAAAAAACAAAGAGCCAAACAGAAAACAAAATAATAAGTTGCAGAAGTTGCCAGAAAAGATAAGAAAAGATGTAACTAACCGCATGTTGCTCACAAGAAATCCACTTTAATAGGTTAACACATAGGTTGAAAATAAACAAAATATGTTGAAAGTAAAAAGATAAGAAAAGATATTCCATGCAAACACCACTAACCATAACCAAGATGTAGGGGCTAAAATAACATTAGACAAAATAAATTTCAAGATAAAGAGTATTATGGATCAGAAAAATAGCAGATTAACATATAAGGGTCAATAAGTCAGGAAGGTGTAACAATTATAAATGGATATGCACTTAACAGAATTTCAAAATACAATGAAGAAAAAAGTAACAGAACTAAAATCGAAATAGACATATCTGCTATTAGAGTTGATTTTAACACTCTTCTTAGTCATTGATAAAACAGTTACACAAAGAATCAGCAATGATATGAAATATATGAATGACACAGTAAACTGCTTGGACCTAGTTGACACTTATAGAGCAATAAACCCAATAACTGCAAAATCTTTTCAAATGTACGAGGAGTGTTCACCACGGTACACCGTATAATGTAAATGTCATAAACAAGTCATAGTATACTTCAAAAGTCTGAAATCTTATAGGGTAATAGGGTAAGTTATATGGCAGTGGCATAATTACATTTGAAACCAATAAAAATAAATATTTTGAAATTAAACTATGTTTATAAACAATCTATAGGTCAAATAAGAAATCACAAGGAAAAATTATAAACTATTTCAATCTAAATGATAAAGACAATTTATCATATCACAGTTTGTGAGAAGCACATCTAGGAGTACCTACAACTGTATAAAAAATGCATGAACAGGATATTTATTGTAGCTTTATTTGAAATTTCAAAAAATTGGAATCTGCCTGAAAGTTTCAGCAGAGCAGTTCTGTTGAATAAATTATGGTACAGTCACTCAGTGAAGTATTATGTAGTTGTTGAAAATAAGGAAGATTCTTGTGAACTGATATAAAATGATTTCAAAGAGGTATTTATAAGTAAAAAAAGCAAGGTACAAATGAGCATACATGTAAGAAAAAGGATAAGTAAGGAAATATTCACATATCTGCTTATCGTTACATAAAGAACATAAGAAAGATAAACTGGAAAATAGTGAAATTGGATACCTACAAGGTGTGAGGTGAGGTGGGATGGAAAAGTATGAGAAGGAGTGACCCTTTTCTAATTATGTATTTTCAAATGTTTGACTTTTGGATACATGCTAATAATAAAATGTCAATATAACCCCCAAATTAAATTAAAGCCAAAAAATGTAGAGAACCCTAAAACTGAAAGCAAACTAACAAATGAACCTAATTGGTTTTCAAGTTAATACCATAACTAACTGGAAGGGAATAAAGAACAAACTATTTCAAATACCATATGAACACAACTTGTGACTACCTTTAGTTTTGGTCAGATTGGAGTTGTGTTGGGGGAGAATTGAAAATAATTGATAAACTTCTTTTAGCAGGTTTGCCTATCATAGTGTTTGAGTGAAGCAATTCTGAATGTACTTTATAAGTACTGTAGAACTGAACAAAAGAGTAAATGGTTTTGTTTTGCTTTGTTCTGTTTGAGACAGGATCTCACTCAGTCACTCATGCTGGAGTACAGTGGCGTGATCACAGCTCACTGCAGCCTCCACCTCCCAGGCTCAGGTGATCTTCTTCCCTCAGCAACCCAAGTTGCTGGGACTACAGGCAAGCACCACCACGCCTAGCTAACTTTTTATTTTTTTATATTTAGTTGAGATGGCATTTTGCCATGTTTTCCAGGCTGGTCTCAAACTCCTGGACTCAAGTGATCTGCCCACCTTGGCCTCCCAAAGTGCTGGGATTACAGCTGTGAACCACTGTGCCCAGACAAAAGAGTAGATGTGTAAATGATATTGAGGGTCAAAGTCCTGATTGTGAAAGAAGGTATACAAATGTAATATGGGACAGGAGAAGTCACAAAATAATCCTATGGGGGATGGATTGGAACTGGAGATATCTCTAAATATGCACATATGTATGTGTGTATATGTGTTTAAATGATCATATATGTGTGTGCATGCATATATGCATATCTAGGTTTGTGCGTATGTATCTTTATGTAAATATGCATGTAGTTATATATGTCCATGCATGTATTTTTTTAGCTCTGTTTGTTAAAGGGCCAAGAAGCAAATATACTCCTGGAATAACAAGGATAAATAGCACCCATAATTTTGTCTCTACTACCATTGCTCAATTAAAAAAACTAGGACTTTTCATATTCCAGGGCTGGAACTAGGGTAAAAGATTAACCTGGAATATCTTATTATGCAAGAAAATAAGAAAGTGCTTTAAAAAATGGTGGGAGGATGTCACAGGAACACAGGAAATAGCTTTAAGGAATTCTCACTGACCAAATT